ACCTAGATTTAGAAATGATAAGCATCAACAAAATGGAGCAGAAAATGACGAAGAGCTTACAAATATAGATATACCACACTACAATATTAATAGCTTGGAAAATCAAAGCACACAATATTTGTACAAGAGCAGATTGGATCAAGCTCTTCCTAGAGAATACGAACGAGAAACAACGGAAAATCTCTACAGAACAATAATAAATGGAATACACAAAGCGGCACAAGAAACTTTAGGTATCACAACGAAAAAGCGAGAAGTTAGAAATTACTGGTGGAATGATCAGCTAGAAGAAATGAAAAAACATAAACAGGAAGTATACCATAAGTGGCTAAATAACAGAGAAAACGAACAAAAAAAAAGTGAATATCAGCAAGCACGTAGTAAGTTCAAAACGGATGTAATAAACGCCAAAAATCAAAAATGGGAAGATAAATGTCAGGAGCTGGACACGTACATCGGAGGACGAAAATCTAGGGAAGCCTGGAGATTTATTAAAAATGTCAGAACTAACAAAAGAGAAGAAACTATGATAAACCCCATAACAACAATGAAATGGGAAGAGCACTACAAAACACTATTAGTAGAAAAAAGACCAGAATACAGTAACACATCACAAAACATAATCGAGATAACAGGACAGCCAATAAATATAAATGAGGAACATATCAAAAAGGCAATAACCTTATTAAAAAACGGCCGCGCCCCAGGTCCGGAAGGAATACCCGCAGAACTACTAAAAAATGGTACTGACAAACTAGCAAAAATAATAACAATATTATTTAACAGATATCTAAATGGAGAACCGGTACCACAGACATGGAAAGAGGGATGGATAACATCTATACACAAGAAAGGTAGTAAACAAGACCCAAATAACTACAGAGGTATTACCGTAACTAGCACACTAAGTCGACTATACGGAAGAATACTAAAAGACCTCATATGTGAAGAGTACCATCCATACGAGTCAGAGGAACAAAGCGGCTTTAGAGCAGGTAGATCCACAATAGACAACATTTTCTGTATAACCCAAGTAATAGAAAAGAGGCTGTCAAGAGCCCAAGAGTTGCATTTGCTTATGGTAGATCTAACAAAGGCATATGACACGGTACCCATTAATAGACTATGGGAAGTACTAGAAAAAACCAGCATAAATGTATCTATCATACAGGCGCTGAAAGAACTATATAAAAACTCGACATCTAAAATTAAAATTGGAAATAGAATATCCAAAGGTTTCCTCGTCACTAAAGGACTAAGGCAAGGATGCTGTGTATCGCCAGTATTATTTAATATATATATTGATGAAGCCCTGAGGCAGTGGAAGAAGAAGTGCAATGGAATGGGACTACCGATAGGAGATACGATACTCTATACGCTACACTATGCAGATGACCAAATTGTAATTGCACAGGACAAAGAAGATCTTGAATATATGACAAGGAAACTGATAGAGGAATACAGAAAATGGGGTCTGGAGGTAAACACCAAAAAAACACAATATCTATGTGTAGGCAGAGAAGAAACAGAGAACCTGAACCTGGAACAGGAGACAATTACAAGCTGTAAGGAATATGTATATCTGGGAATAAAACTAACGAGCACAGGACGAACCGAAGAAAATATTAAAGACAGAATAGTAAAGGGAAGACAGGTGATAGGAGCCCTGAATTCGGTACTGTGGCAAAAAAATATAAGAACAGAAAATAAAAAACGAATTTACAACACAATATTAAAACCAGTGTTAACTTATGGAGCTGAAGTCTGGCAATTAACTAAGAAATACAAGGATAAATTACTAGCCACTGAGATGGATTTTTGGAGAAGGTCAGCAAGAAGATCTAGATTAGAACACATAAGAAACGACGACATTAGACAACAAATGGAAATAGAAAGAACAATCATAGATGACATTGAAAGACAACAGCTAGTATGGTACGGGCACGTAAGACGAATGGAAGAAAGAAGAATCCCCAAGAAAGTGTTAGAATGGACCCCCACAGAAAAACGAAAACGAGGAAGACCAGTAACCACATGGATGAAAGGCATCTCCAAGGCAATGTCGGAACGAAATTTGAGAGATGAACACTGCCATAATAGAAAAGAGTGGCGATTAGGAACGGAAAGGCGTAGAACGCTATAAAACCGGTTTAATAATAAAATTATAAATCTTTAATAATATTAGTTAATAGTTTTATCTATTGTTATTTCATTTCTTTCGATACATGATTTCACCAGCTTTTATAATAAATTTAAGCTATCTATTTTACATGCTTTTAATAATCAATTCATCACCTCACCAAAAGTCAATCTTACCTTCACGTTGGTGAAACCCCCACAAACGAGGATCTAAAGACCGAGAATCCGCGAAATAACTGTAATACCAGGAATTAAGGAAATGAGATTGCATTAAGACCTCCGTGTGGGGTACGGGCTATGAAACAAGAATATCCCCACAGGTTCTCCTACCTGTCGTAAAAGGCGACTGAATGGAGAAGCACTCATGCTGCCTAAACTCTTATTCCTATTCCCCAACACTTGACCAAACATGGGCGGTATAAGTCTAACCTAACAAACAATATGACACCATCGGCCTGAAGAAAACGCCAAGCTACTATAACTGGAGTAAACAGAGGCTGATTTAGAAGCTATAGCCAGCAGCCCTGGTACTGGACTCGGGTGCAATTCGCTGGTAACCTATTCACCTTAAACTTATTTATCACGAATGATATGAGCAACATACAAACCAAATGGGCTAACAGACAAAGCTACGGAATAAGTACTTAATGATGAACTTGTTATCGGGAATCTGGAATGTTCAAACCAAGCTGCAGGCAGGCAAAATGCAAAGTATTGCAATAAAAACACTAATGTTTATACTACTGTGGAGCAGGAACACAACGAGACTTTGAAGTGGGCTTTATGGTGAACCATAAATACTACAGGTCAAGATTAAGTTTTACTTTAGTTAATGATAGAATATGCAAAATACACCTAAGGAGTAAATTTCATAATATTACAATAATTATTACTATCCATACCCCAATAGAACCAGCTGATAAACTTGTCAGCAATCTATTATAAAACCAACTACAGGTAGAATGTGAACATGTGCAAAAGGAAGATGCAGTTATAGTCCCAAGTGACAACAAAGTCAAGTTCCTTTGATAAGCATAGCTTTCATCATATTACTTGTAACAACGGTATAAAATTAGCATAATTGACAATAGCAAATAAACTCAGAGTAGTTAGTATGTGTTTTCCTCACAAAACTATTCAAAAAGGAACCTGGCTGATACCTTAATCATATATTAATATCTAAGTGATGGGTAACCTCCTTAACAGATATTAGATCTGCTCAAACTGCGATTTGAATCATTTCTTGGTCATATTAAAGATCAAACAAAGAATATCAATGGCAAAAAAGAGAAAGGTGCTAAACATAGGAAATGGAATACATAACATTACAGACAAATGAAATATTATCCAAACGACAATTACCAATTACAGCAAGGGAAACATTGGGAAAAACCTCAAGCAAAAACGAGAAATGGTTTGACCAAGCTTGCCAACAAGTAATAAATAGTAAAAATACAGCTAGGCAAAAATGTCAACAAAAGAATTCTCGATTGAATAAAAGTGCATATAAAGAATTAATAAGGGATGCAGAGAGTATATGTAGTAATAAAAAGAGAGAAATGTTAAATAGAAAAATACAACAAATTACAGACTATAATAATGGACAAAAGACAAGGAAATTTTACAAGGAAGCCAAGCAATACATTTAAGAACACATGAAAGGAACAACAATGTGCCAAAACTAAAACGGTGCAATTATCAGTAAAAAACAATAAATGAAAAGGCGGAAGGAGCATTTTCAAGAGGTCTTAACTCAAAAAAAAACATCAACATTAAAAGAAACTACATACGTCATATAACATCTGAAAAATAATAAAGCGCCAAGCCCAAATAGAATTAGAATGGTTGAGATGTTCAATGGAAGCATATTCATATACTAATATAGGCCAAATACATATGTTAAGAGGTATCCATGAAAAATGCAGTAAATATCACACAACAATTGACAACTTGTGAATTAATTTCAAATAGGTATTTGATGGAGTAGATAAGCAAAAATATTTAAAACAACTATCCATGCTAGATAACCAAAAAAATAAGTTAAATTCATACAAATGACTTTGGAAGATTCCAAAGCCATGCTGAGAATATATGGAGATATCACAGGGGCGAGAGATATGGAGATATTGAAAATAAATTTGAGCAAGGTAATGCCTTATCAACAACACTTTTTAGTCTAACTTTAGAGCTATTATCAGAAAACTAGATATGAACGGCTGTATTAATACAATATCCACTCAAATATGGACATATGCTGATGATATTGCTATAATAAGCCGCAATAGAAGGGTATTGAAAGCTGTAGATTTGAAACTGAAAGCCGCTGCATTTGGTCTAAAAATAAGTGAAAGGAAAACAAAATATATGAAGTGCACAAAGCGTAATTGACACCAGAATCTGCAGGTAGATCGTACCTACGAATATGCCTTTACTTTTTCCTACCTAAACTCAATAATAAAAGACAGCAACAACGGAACAACGTCAGCCAAGTTTATTTTCTGACTTTAACTACCGCTGGATTGTCCTTTCCGTTGCAAGTACTAAAACTTTATTAACATTATTTTCTTAAAACTCTTTGGTGGATTTGATTGGAAATATTTAATAATAAATTTGCCAGGCATGATAATTCAATGGTCATAAAAGCTTTGATTGCAGTATATGGAATGTATTAAGATAATATTAAATGTACACAATAGGACTATTTACGCTATAAACCTTTATATAATTAATGATAATGTCTAATTTCTGAAGTATTAAAAAATATAACAACACGAGAGCTTTCCACCAGAGCTTTTAGAGTTCAACCAGTCATAAGAAATTTAAATATTACTATTAAGTAACCTAATAATTACTATCGCGGTTTAAAAATTGACTTCGAAGAAATTTCCAAAATCAAACAAAGAATTACTACTATATTTGGCCGTGTGAGATTTTTCGTTATGATGTTCTTCTTTTAACCATGTTTTTTTAATGAAATCACTTCCTTTTTCAGCTATCATAATAGTTGGTGCATTCGTGTTCCCCCTTACAATTTTAGGCATAATAGAGGCATCTATAACTCGTAACGATTTGATGCCGTAGACTCTTAAGTGAGAATCAACTACTGCACTTTCATCATGATGCGGTCCCATTTTACATGTTCCAACAGGATGGAAAATAGTAGTGGTATAGGCCATGGCTATGCATGCCCAATATTCGTCCGTGCCAAAGGGTACATGTTGACAAGCTGGTAAAGGTGTTCGTACAAGTCGTATTCCCGCGTGTTTAAAGAAACTGGTCCTTTCAAGATTTAGGCTTTGTTTTATTCCCTCAACAATTCTAAGTAAATCTATTTCTTCAAAGAAAGTATTTGCGTAGATAAGAGGAGTACCGAAAATGGGATCGGACTGGTTCAACAATATTCTTCCTCTTGATTCTGGATTAAGCAATATCGGTCTTGCCATCATCCCACTATAGTAAGCCAGTGGTAAAACTGCAGTATTATAACTGAGAATAGGATCAGTGAAAAAATTATCTGTATTCACAGAGTCAATGGAAATTTGAATGTCTGGTCTATCATGACTATTTTCAAATTTTGTCTGAATAAAAGCATTTGTTTGTAGTGCACCTGTTGATGCTAATGGTCCATCTCTTTTGTTTTTCCAATAATATGTATCGGCTTTCATTTGGTTCTCGTCGACCAGGGTAGCAGTGTGATTAGTTAAACCAAACACAACACCATCTATCGTGGTGTGATCTTGCAAATTAAAACCTACAGCTGAGTCTTTAAGAACTTTAATTCCGTTTTCCTGCAAATGACTTGCTGGACCCACGCCACTTAACATTAATAATATCGGTGAGTTAATACTTCCTGCTGATAAAATGACTTCTTTCTTTGCTACTACTTGAACAAGTTTCCCTTTATTAAAATATTCTACACCATACGCTTTCTTAGTTTTTTCATCTATTAGTATTCGCGTAACATGAGCGTTAGTTCTAATAGTTAAGTTTTTTCTTTTATTTCTAATCGGCCTTATAAAGGCTCCATTTGTACTTAATCGTTCACCATGTCTTGTAGTGTGTTGTAACAGCATAGTACCGATAAGGTGTTCGCTATTTTGATCAACTTTTGGTAGACCTAGTTCTTCATAAGAGTGAAGTAGTCCAAGGGTATTCTTGTCTTGGTAAGGAAAAAATTCGACTGTTTGATAGCCCCCTACACCATGATAATGAGGATCTATTTTTTCATGATCATGATTCTTATTATCCTCAGATTTTTTAAAATACGGCAAAACATCTCTATATGACCATCCATGATTGCCCATATATTCCCACTCATCATAGTCTTCTGGGTGACCCCTTATATAAATCATGTAGTTTATAGTTGACGATCCACCCATTACTTTGCCTCTGGCCCATGTACATCTTCCCTCGTCCCTAGCAAGACAACTTTTTGGCGAAGGCTGTGTCTCATACATCCAATCAATGCTAGATCCTTGCAGCATTGGGGCAAATGCAGGAACATCTGCGACAAGTGGTTCTTCATCCCCAGCTTCTAACAACAGCACCTGTAAAATTAAAACAGATTTGATTAAAATTAACATATTTAAGTTATTGAATTATTTAATTGGTTATTATTATAAAGTTCGTAGTCTACTGTTAATTATAATAGATTATGTCTAAATGTAGACTTCAAAACAGTGATGAAAAAGGCTTAATGTTCCTGAAAACTAGACATTTAACTTGATTTTTCTATATATATTTAAGTTCAAATTACCAAACAGATATTGAGTTTTCAATGGATTTAAAAAAATTACATAAATTATGAACCGGGAGACATAAGTTTTTTTTTAAAGTGTGTCATTTTTATGTAGGTACCTATATTATTTTACAAAAACGTCCACCACTGTTAATATAATACAATTATCTAATAACATCAACAAAACTGTATCTCCACCTATAGATTGTCGATGATGAAATACATAAAGAATTAAAGGTTTATAATGTAATCTAAACAGCAAACCACCAAATGCAATATGAAGGCCACCAGATGAGCTTCCGAGCATCCATAAATATACACAGGAGATTTTAATATACCTCAAATTGCATTTGGTTATAAAAAATGCAATCTCCTAGCGAACAAGTAATTTAATGGTTCGAGATCAATCATTTTAGACTTTTTCAAAATGCAAAAGAAGCCTTCCTTTTTTCGCTAGATGGCAAAAGGCTACAGTCTAGATCTAATATGTACATATACCATAATTATGCCACCAAATAAGTTCAGACATATCGAGCATAAAACTCTTTGCTATCTGCAAACCAGGCAAAAGCACTTTACTGCTTGATAATTACAGACCAATTGCTGAATTTATTTGGAAGTGTCATTGAAATATATAGAAGACTTGGACGCTAAGGTAGAAAAATTCAATACCAGTTTTCAACAAGCAGCTTGGGAAAACACCCCTAATCTACTAAGAAGATTGAAAGGAAAAAACTACATTAAGAAAATCTTGGAATTTTTCTTTAAAAAAAGAGAAGTAAGAAAAAATGGCAACTAACCAGAGAACCACCAAAAAAACAAACGTAAACCAACTTGCCTCACAAAGAAAAAGAGAGAGTAGGTACCCTAAACCGTTTTCGTTCCAGCTTGCGTGTAGGAGGAGTTCTGAATTAAGTAGGGACTCTTCTGTACTTCACGGAAGATAGACGAGCGGGGGAGTCCTCAACCCCGACACGGCGCGTCCCACTGGCTGATAAGGAAATGTTCTACAGATATATAGTATAGATCTGAATAAGGTTTTATCAAATAAGCACCAGTAGACCAACTGAGGATGTGGCATAGGGCAGCAGCTATGACATTACTTCGTTAAGGCTATAGCTGAATGATTTATACTGTTGGCTTAATGACAGATACTCACGAGCGGATATTACATAATGAGTCAACCGGCCGTGATACTGCGATCAGGCAGGCAAGGGGAATCTATCTGATTATATTCCCGTGACTACACCATCATAAATATATCGAATCAGTTAGATATGCTTAGCAATCCGATTAGCGATTGGCGCTCAGTTGGTTTCGGACCAACTAGTGTCAACCGGGCATGTGTTTGTGAGCAACCAAGCAACGCATGCGATATTGACGCCTGAAAGAAAATCAGATTTTCAGTTAAGAAAAGCAATGGGAATAGCAACCTGGAATGTTCGAGGATTATTGCAACCAGGCAAACTGCATAGACTACAACGAGAAGTCTCACTTAGTTTCCAGCTGTTCTCCGTGCGTAGAGGTTTTCTCCCCGGCTCTGGAACTCAATTTTTACAATGTATGTTACCTGAAGTCATATTTAATGTATGTATTTTTGGTGGCTCAGGCATTTTAACCTAGCGATTTTAAACCTGATGATGGACTGTTTAGTCCGAAAACGTTTGTTTTTTTTTATGTAGCCCTTTTAAGGGTTTTTAAATAAATATACTTACTTACGAAGATACTTGCAGTATTTTGGATACATTGCTAGAAAAACAGATACGATGAAAAAACTGATAGTCGAGGGTAGAGTTGAAGGAAAGAGATCTAGGGGAAGATCTCCAAGCCGTTGGGTAGATCAAACAAAAATATTGATTAACCAAGGGTTACGTGAAGCAGAACAACTAGCGGAGGACAGGGAAGGATGGAGAGAAATCGTAAAAAAACTGTAAAGACCTAATGGTGTAACCACATCCCAAAAGGGATTAGAACTGAGGAGGAGGAGGTAATTTAAAAATGAATAATGGATGAAGTACTGAATATTTACAATAGAAAACCGCCAAAAATATAAAGAGACAAATTATGCAAACGCTTCCTATAAGCAATAAACAGATGATTGATGCAAGTTTTGACTTGTCAAAAATGCGACACAGCTATTGGTCCTAGGATGCAAATTGCGGTCGGTAGGCTGCGAGACATTATACTGATTTACTCAGAAAATAAACAAAACCATAAAATATACCTTTTTTAAAAGTAACCTGTAATTGTTAAACTGAGGCTAAAACAATTCAATAAGTGAATATTATAGGTTTGGCCGATGGGACCAGATTTTTGGATACTATGATGAAGTTTTACGTGTTAACCATTGAGTTAGAATCTATGGAGAGGGCATCACGTGACTAAAAACAACTTCACTTCGTCCATATTGTTATGATCGTTTTGACAGATCGTGTATGATTGTTAAGGTTTGTTGTTTTTCGAATATTTTTAGTTTTATAATACTTTTTTAGAAATTGCAATATTATATTGTGATAGTGCATAATAATAGTTTCTTGTTCTCAAAGTAGTTGCAGTAAGAGAAGCAATGTTAATAAAAAATCTTCAGCAATAACATTCCACTGGTTAGTATACAAATATGTAAACAGAGTAATGGCCCGTACTTCAGAGAATAAATTAATAGTATTCATAAAAATCTTACAGTAACTTAGAAGTTTCTCGATTTATTGTTTAGTCATTATTGAATATTTTTAAAAGTTTTCAAAATAACAATTATAATATCCCAAAAAAGAAGAAAGAACGAAATATCTATTTCAGATACAACTTGTTATTTGACTGTATTAATTTATGTGTATAATATATTGTGTTTTTAGTGTTTTCCACGGGATAAATAAATCATAGTTTATTAGAAATATATTGCACCTGTTTAGATTATAATTAAATCTTCTGAATAACTAGTCATATTTGTATAGTAGTTTTAATATTATTAAGTCTGGCCCTGATCCCACCGCCACATTGGTATGATCGATAGCCACACTTACTGATGCCGTTTTTAATACACGCGTTAATATGCTCATAGCTTTTCTATAGATTCTAACTCGATGGTTAATTATTCTAACTCGATGGTGGTAACTAACTAGTGATAAACTGTGTTCAGAAACGTCTTATGTCTTACTTCTTGTGTAATACTGATGCTCCAGAAATGCAAAAAATATTTGAACAGGATATACTTATGTTTATTTATAATTGTCTCTTTTCCTAGCTTGTATTAATGGTTTAAATAATTAAAATATTGAATATTACAGTTTTATTTTATTATACTGTAAAATGCGATAAAATTTTCCGTTACAAATTTCATTTATGGTGGCAAAACAATAAAATGCCTATAAATAATGATTTTCTTATTTATAATTTATAAGTACAGAAATAAATTTCCAGCATTAATTGTTTCTGTATAAGAAACAACAGTTACGAAATCTATAAAGTTGAAATTATGTAACCGACAGTCACCATTAAAAGTGTAATTACCTATCTTTTAATATTTTTAAATCAATGGTTTTAAAAGCGTTTTCTTATTTAAACATTGTTTTATAGGTGTATAGCCCAGGTCATGACGGTTTTTTCGCATAGAATTCTTTATATATATATATATATATATATATATATATATATATATATATATATATATATATATATATATATATATATATATAAAACTGTTTTGGATGGGTTGGAGTCAATAAAAGGGGCTATTTGTTGATTATTTTTTACTCGAGCTTTCAATTGTGATTACAATTATTATCAAGAGCTTCCAAAAAATACAAAATATCTTACAAAGTTGAACTAGAAATAAAAAAATTTTTTGTTAACTCACCAAATAAAATTAGTTTGTTATATAAAACTGCTGCTTACATATTAATGACAAAAAATATTAATAAAAAAATGTCTTATTCTAATAAATGATTCTCTGAAAAATTTTGATGAAGTTTCTTAACAAAAAAAGAGTGATTGCAGAATTAAGAAACCATCTTGTGCTTTGGCAGAACATGTAATAGACAAAGATTATATCATGGATTTTGATAATATTAAAATTTTATGTAGTGAAAGTAATAAATTTAAAAGAACTTTTTTGGAAATGGTTTGTATTAGCAAAAGTGATAATAATTTAAATAAAAGGTCAGAAATTCAAAATCTATGCAAAATTTATAATTATGTTATTTCTATGTAATTTATATATGCAGTCAGTAAAATATCACATTTTGAATTTTCCATGTATTTGTTACATTTTTTCGGGCATCTATCAATGGTGAATAAATCTTCTTCTTTTTTGTTACTAAACTACAAAATATACTACAAAATTTTATTTTTGACAATATGTCAAAAATAAAAATTTTTAAGTTAGTATTTATGACATTTAGGCTGGTTTGTAGCTATTCAATTTTTGTTTACAAATTCAATTGTTTTTGTTAAGAAACTTTATCAAAATTTTTCAGAGAATCATTTATTAGAATAAGACATTTTTTTATTAATATTTTTTGTCATTAATATGTAAGCAGCAGTTTTATATAACAAACTAATTTTATTTGGTGAGTTAACAAAAAATTTTTTATTTCTAGTTCAACTTTGTAAGATATTTTGTATTTTTTAGAAGCTCTTGATAATAATTGTAATCACAATTAAAAGCTCGAGTAAAAAAACAGTCAACAAATAGCCCCTTTTATTGACTCCAACCCATCCAAAATAGTTTTATTTTTTTTATTTTTTCCAAACGAGTCACAAGTACTTCTTTTTTCTTATATATATATGGTATATATATATATATATATATAT